CCTGCACAGTCCAGGTAAGTCCGGGCACGGTTGCCGGGCCGTGTTCACCATCCCCTCCTTGGCCTCCGTCCCCAGGGCCAGGCCCCCAAGGCTGGGGAAGGGGACACAGCAGGTGGTTGGAGCAGCTGAGCAGCCGGAGGGCGCCAGCGGGAGCGGGTGCGAGGGGGCGCTGGCTGGGGACCCAGGCGGGAGGTGGCGCAGGGGCTCGAGGATGCCCAGCGTGGGTCCGGACCTCCCCAGGCCCTGCCTTTGCCATGCAGTCCTGTCCGAGTGCTTCCAGGTGAATGGGGCTGACTACCGCGGCCACCAGAACCGCACTGGCCCGCGCGGGGCGGGCCGCCCGTGCCTCTTCTGGGATCAGACGCAGCAGCACAGCTACAGCAGCGCCAGCGACCCCCAGGGCCGCTGGGGGCTGGGCGCACACAACTTCTGCCGGTGAGGGGCCGGGCCTGCGCTGGGGGCGAGGCTGGGCGCACCGTTGTTGGGACGGCCCGAGGCGGGGCCTCAATGCGCGCGGGGTGGAGGTCTGCGGTGGACTGGCAGCCCGGCCGCCCCGGAGAACCTGAGGGCGGGGCCAGAACGAGGGGCGGAACGGGGCGGGACGCGCGGAACCCTGGCGCAAAAGGGGTCCTCCTCAGGTGCACAATTTCTGCAGAGCCTCGGTTCAGGGCCAGGAGAGAAACGGACCTGGGAATTCAAAGGACCCCTATGGGTGGGCCTGGTCAGAGGAGGGCCCTGGAGTGAGGGCTCTTGTCACCCAACTTATTTGAGGGGCGTTGGAGCATTGGGGATCAGAGCCACAGCTGCGGCCTGAGGCAGGACGGACAGAGCAGGAGGAGAGCCTCAAATCTCAGAAGCTCATCACTTCTGCTTTAAAGTGAGATTGAAGGCCGGGCGCGGTGGCTCACGCCTGTAATCCCAGTACTTTGGGAGGCCGAGGCGGGTGGATCACGAGGTCAAGAGATCGAGACCATCCCGGTCAACATGGTGAAACCCCGTCTCTACTAAAAATACAAAAAAAATCAGCTGGGCATGGTGGCACATGCCTGTAATCCCAGCTACTCAGGAGGCTGAGGCAGGAGAATTGCCTGAACCCAGGAGGTGGAGGTTGCGGTGAGCCGAGATTGCGCCATTGCACTCCAGCCTGGGTAACAAGAGTGAAACTCCGTCTCAAAAAAAAATAAATAAATAAATAAAAAATAAAAAAAATAAATAAAGTGAGATTGGGTCCGGGCATGGTGGCTCACACCTGTAATCCCAGCACTTTGGGAGGCCGAGATGAGGTGAGCGGATTATCTGAGGTCAGGAGTTCGAGACCAGCCTGGCTACCATGGTGAAACCCCGTTTCTACTTAAAATACAAACAATTAGCCGGGCGTGGTGGCACGCTCCTGCAATCCCAGCTACTGGGTAGGCTGAGGCAGGAGAATCTTTTGAACCCGGGAGGCGGAAGTTGCAGTGAGCCGAGATCCCGCCGTTGCACGGGCTTGGGCAACAAAAGCAGAAACTCCATCTCAAAAGAAAAAAAAAAAAAAAAAAAAACCCACACACAAGTGGGGTTGGAGGGACGGAAGTGGCTGAGAGTCATGCCGGGTGGGGGTAAAGACTACAGATGGCCTCAAAGCTCAAGTCTAGTAACAGCTGAAGCCTAAAAACAGCTCTCATGGCCCTTTTAATGACTTCCCACTGTCCACTCAGAAGTCCCCGTCCAGTACCTTCATCAGGCAGAGCTCTGTGTAGACCAAACTGGAATTTGTGGGTGGACGGGGGAAACACACTGGTCACAGGCACAGAGCCTTGACGGCCATTTTGAGCAGAGACTGGCTTTGCTGTTCTTGGGGTGGCAGGACCCCGACCACCTCCCTCCCGCCCCCAGTAACCCAGACGGCGATGTGCAGCCGTGGTGCTACGTGGCGGAGACAGAGGAGGGAATCTACTGGCGCTACTGCGACATTCCCACATGTCACAGTGAGTGGCACGGCTGCACAGAGGTGGGAACGCTGCCGTGTCTGGGAGGAGGGTCAATTTTGGAGGCATGGAAGGCTGACTCTCTGTCCCCTCAGTGCCCGGCTACCTGGGCTGCTTCGTGGACTCCGGCGCGCCCCCAGCCCTCAGCGGCCCCAGCGGCACCTCCACGAAGCTCACGGTCCAGGTGTGCCTTCGCTTCTGCCGCATGAAGGGCTACCAGGTACTGCTCACTGGCCCAGACCGGTGACCCCTGACCTGGACCTAAGGATCCCACTCAACTCCCAGCAGTCGATTGCCAAACCCAGACACCTATTTCTGAACCTCCAGTCCGATTCCAACCCCGATCCCTGGCCCCCACCGCTTCACCCCTACCCCGTCCCCTGCCCTGGGGTCACCCAGTCTGTGCTCCCAGCTGGCGGGCGTGGAGGCCGGTTACGCCTGCTTCTGTGGCTCTGAAAGCGACCTGGCCCGGGGACGCCTGGCCCCCGCCACCGACTGTGACCAGATCTGCTTCGGCCACCCCGGACAGCTGTGCGGCGGCGATGGGCGGCTGGGCGTCTATGAAGGTGAGGAGTGAGCGGGGGCCAGGGACCTGGGCGGGCCTCGGGGTGGGGCCTGGCGGGGCCGGAGAGCCGCGGTGTCTCGTGGGTGTCTCCCTGAGGCCTCAGGACCTCAGGGTCCTGACTGCCGGCCCCGCCCGCAGTATCTGTGGGCTCCTGCCAGGGGAACTGGACGGCGCCTCAGGGCGTCATCTACTCCCCGGACTTCCCGGACGAGTACGGGCCGGACCGGAACTGCAGCTGGGCCCTGGGCCCGCCGGGCGCCGCGCTGGAGCTCACCTTCCGTCTCTTCGAGCTGGCCGACTCGCGCGACCGGCTGGAGCTGCGCGACGCGGCTTCTGGGAGCCTGCTCCGAGCCTTCGACGGCGCCCGCCCGCCGCCGCCCGGGCCACTACGCCTGGGCACCGCCGCGCTGCTGCTCACCTTCCGCAGCGATGCGCGCGGCCACGCGCAGGGCTTCGCGCTCACCTACCGCGGTGAGCCACGGCCCGGCGCGCCCTGCCCACTATTCCCACCCCCATCTCCCCACCCAGCCTCACGCCCCTCTCCGCAGGGCTGCCGGACGCCGCAGAAGACCCCGGGCCCCCCGAGGGCTCGGCCCAGACCCCCGCAGCGCCCCTCGACGGGGCCAACGTGAGCTGCAGCCCCAGACCTGGGGCTCCGCAGGCCGCGATGGGGGGTGAGGCGGGCGCGCGGGACCGGGACGGGAGGGACTTAGGGAGCCGACCCCTCCCGCCCATCCTCACCGCAGCTGTGTGCCCGCAGCCCGGGTCTTCTCGACGGTGATGGCTGTCTCGGTGTTGCTGCTGCTGCTCCTAGGGCTGCTGCGTCCGCTGCGCCGACGGTGCGGGGCGCTGGGGCAGGGCCTGAGGGTGGACCCGTGGTGGGGAGCTGGGGCCCCAGAGGGGAAAAGAGCCAGGAAGGAACTCCTGGGTTCTTAAGGGAGCTAGCCTTTGGGTCCATACACAGAATAGCGCGTAGGATCGCAAGGATTGGACTGGCTCGGCTGATGTCTGCTCCCTCTCTAGGAGCTGTCTGCCGGCTCCGGGAAAAGGGCCCCCGGCTCTGGGGCCTTCCAGGGGCCCCAGAAGAAGCTGGGCCGTGTGGTACCGACGGCCCCGAGGGGTGGCCCTGCCCTGCCCCCCCGGAGACCTCCAGGCTGAGGGTCCTGCCGCAGGCTACCGGCCTCTGAGTGCCTCCAGCCAGAGCTCCCTGCGCTCCCTCATCTCTGCTCTCTGACTCCAGGCCCCCAGGGTCTGCTGGACCCGCCATCAGCGAGATAGACACCTGAGATGCTGTGTGCGCCCCCTATCTCGGCCTTGTGACTGTTTAGGGGCAGTTCGACCTCTGGTCGCCTTGGGGAGACCAGAATTCGGACAGGAAACATCCTGCTATTACCCAAGACTTGGCCTGACCTTCCTCTTGCTCCAGGCCAAAGGGCAAGAGGAATCCAGCCCCTGTCCATGGACCTTTATGTGAGGGTGGTCTCTGGTTTTAGAGATCTTTGAACCCCTCTTGGGGTGGTCCTGGACTGCCGTCCTCAGTGAGAGGTCACAGGTCAACAAAATGGTCAAAAAGACCCCCACAAACTTTGAATAAAGGGTCTATTTTGGTATGGATCTCCAAAGTTCTTCCGTAGTGGGAAGAGGAGCATGTTAATGAGCGTCCAGGCGCCGAGGGCTGTGTCCATGCAAATGAAGGGCGTTGCACGCAGACTTCGGCGGAGCTGCCTGGAATGCAGAGAAGGACCCAGAACGCAGACATATGGGTGGGTGGGATCCTGTAGAAGGCAGGGATTGAAAGGGAGGAGGATCGTGGGCAACATTATGGTGAAGAAGGTACCTGCTCAGGGTGGACGGGACAGAGGCCGACTTTGGTCCCCTGGCCACCAACCTTATATCTTCACTGTTTCCTGTCTCTCCTGGTCAGGGCACGGCAAGAGTGCGCCTTGTGGGTGATAACAGGGAGCGAGTTGTGCTAAGCCCACGCTCCAAGAAGCCTGGTGCGAAGGGCAGTGACTTGCCTGGCGGCTGCGGGCGCATCAGACGCCTTCAGAGATCTGGGTACCCCGGAGTGCCCAGCTGCACTCGGGAGGAGTCTAGCCGGCGGAAAGATCACTCTGGAGTGGGGGCTCACGGGATCTAGGGCGGACCCGTCCGGCAGCACCTTGGACAGAGCCCGGTCTGCAGGGTGGTGCTGGGTGGCGGGACCGTGCCCTCGAGAGGGGGGTGCCCAAAGGTGCGGAGACCTGGGATTCACGCGGAAAGCCCGGATGCACAGTGCTGAGGGACACGAGGTGCCCGGGTCACTCTAGCGGAGTCCGAGGACCCAGAAGGTCGGGTCGCAAGCCCCTAGCTACCCTATGCAAATAAGGCTGGGATCGCGCACACGGTACTAGCAGGCGAGGCCTGGGCGGCTTCGGGGCGGAGCCTCCCCGCCGGCCGCGCCCATTGGCTCTCGCTGAGCCGACGTCAGGAGCGCAGCGCGCGAAACACCGGCCAGCCGGCGGGGACTAGGAGCTGGGGCGGAGCCTGGCGTCCCCTCCCGTGGCCGGCCGCACCCGTCCTCCCGGCTGCGGAGAGACGACCGGCTGCCGCCGCTGCCGCTGCCCCTGCCGCGAGCTGTCCCTGCAGCGCGCTTGTCTTGGCGGAGCCGACCGCAGTGCGCCCAGGCCTCAGGCGCGTCCCCAGCCTCCGCCCTGGCGCGGGGGCGTTGGACTCGCGCGTGCGCAGCGCAGGAGGGGCGCGGGCTGGGACCCCCAAACCAGCGCGTGCGCCAATCGAGCCCAGGGCGGCAAGTGGGCGCCGGGCCGTGATGGGCCTCCCCGTGCTGCGACCCCACTGAGGAAGAGGCTCGAGGACAGGAGGAGCGCGAGCCGCCAGCGCGGTGCGGACTATGGCATTCCTCGCCGGCCCGCGCCTGCTGGACTGGGCCAGCTCGCCGCCTCACCTGCAGTTCAATAAGTTCGTGCTGACCGGATACCGGCCCGCCAGCAGCGGCTCGGGCTGCCTGCGCAGCCTCTTCTACCTGCACAACGAACTGGGCAACATCTACACACACGGTGAGCCGCGCCCCTAACGCACTTCCCACACCTCGGGCAGCCCTACCCGTGCTGGGCCGGGGGCTGAGGCCGAGAAGCGTCCCAGCGCCCAAGACCTGGGCTGGCACGGCCAGAAGCCTTGGTGACAAAGCTGCCATTGTCCCGGGCGGGCCGCGCTGCCAGCTTCCGCTTTCCCGGCGGGTGGGGGCCGGGTCAGGAGAGGGAAGCAGAGTGGGGGGCTGAGCCTGCTTAATCCCTCTGAGTCCTAGGGATAGGGAGCTTGGTGTCTGGCCTCTGTAATCCCAGCGCCCCGGGCACCCTCTCCCGCCAGCACCCAGGCGGGAGATGGTGTTGACTGCCATGCGGAAGGCCCGGGAGGAGCCGCCGCGCCCCTCCCAACTCAGCCGCCCTGACGCCCCCGACCCAGGCAGCTCGGTCTTGGGGCTCCACCTGGTGGCGGCTCCTTCCTCCCCCAACAGGCACCCGGCCCCTCCTCCGCACCCCGCGGAGCTCTGCTGACACAGCCGAGCCCGTCCTTGAGCTGCCCCAGCTAGGCGAGGGGCCCTGAGCGGCCGGGCCCAGCCTGGGTAGCTTCTCCGAGTTTCTACCAGGTCAGATCCCACGAGAGTGGGCAGTCTGCGGAGCCCCATTTGGCCCCTGGGAGGCCAATGCTAGAGGCTGGTGGGAAGGGGTGGGGACCTCCCAGAAAGGCTTAGGCAGGGAGGAATGAAACTCCCCGGGAGGGGCCTCGGGAGATGACACAAGCCCCTCGGGGTCCCCTTCCCTTCATTCTGGACTTGCTTTCCCCTGCCAGGCCTCACCCCTTTATGGAAGACAAAAAGGCCCAATGCCTCCATTTGCATGGACACTTATGGAGAGGGGAGGACTTGGGTTGGAAAGAGCAAGCCCAGTGGCCCATGGGCTGGCATCACTGCCCATGTGTCCTGTTTACAACTCAGTCTGAAGTCTTGCCACCTTAGGCTTCTGCTGACCTAGGCCAGGGGCCTGTGGCCTCCTGCTTGCTGGGGGAAAGCAGTGTGAGAGTAGGATGGCCCAGGCCTGTCCTCTGCCATTGCTTACCCACTGGGCTCACCTGCAAAGTGGGGATCATGGTCTCCACTTCCCAGACCATCCTGAGCCATAAGTAACCAGTGCCAAAAGCCTTTTGCCCAGGGCCTGCCTCTGGCCAAAGCCAGGCTGCCACCTGGATGACACCATTACCTGGACCTGCCTTGCTCTGTCCTGTGTTATGTCTGGACTGGGGTCCCCTTGAGGACGTGACTGAGGCTGTCTGGTGGATGACTGTCTCCCTCCCTAGGGCTGGCCCTGCTGGGTTTCCTGGTGCTGGTGCCGATGACCATGCCCTGGGGTCAGCTGGGCAAGGATGGCTGGCTGGGGGGCACACACTGCGTGGCCTGCCTGGCACCTCCTGCAGGCTCTGTGCTCTATCACCTCTTTATGTGCCATCAAGGGGGCAGCGCTGTGTATGCCCGGCTCCTCGCTCTGGACATGTGTGGGGTCTGCCTTGTCAACACACTTGGTGAGTCAGGGCCCCAAGGGATGGGATCTGGGGCCACTGGTTCGGGGAGGCATGGGAGACTCATACAAGCCCTGGGTAGCGAAGGGTAGGTGGACCCTCAGACTGACGTGCCCTCTTCTGCTCTCTCCGTTGTGCAGGGGCCCTGCCCATCATCCACTGCACCCTGGCCTGCAGGCCCTGGCTGCGCCCAGCTGCCCTGGTGGGCTACACCTTGCTGTCGGGTGTGGCTGGTTGGCGTGCCCTCACCGCCCCCTCCACCAGTGCTCGGCTCCGGGCATTTGGGTGGCAGGCTGCTGCCCGCCTGTTGGTGTTTGGGGCCCGGGGAGTGGGGCTGGGCTCAGGGGCACCAGGCTCCCTGCCCTGCTACCTACGCATGGACGCACTGGCGCTGCTTGGGGGGCTGGTGAACGTGGCCCGCCTGCCCGAGCGTTGGGGACCCGGCCGCTTTGACTACTGGGGCAACTCTCACCAGATCATGCACCTGCTGAGCGTGGGCTCCATCCTACAGCTGCACGCCGGTGTCGTGCCCGACCTGCTCTGGGCTGCCCACCACGCCTGTCCCCAGGACTGAGCTGCCAAGACAGCCTGCCCACAGCAGCCTCCTAGAGTTAGCAGCACCAGGTGTTCCTCCCTCCTGGTCTGCAAGGGGCTGGCTCCCTGGATGCTTCCAGCTCAGGAGACGTCTAGCCAGGAGCCCTCCTCACCCATTCTTCCCTGTGGACTGACCTCTTCAGCCATGCGGTGGCCCTTCGACTTACTTCCCTGCCTTCTCCCTCCAAGCTCCTGTTTTACTGCGTCAGCTGGAAGGAAACCTTTCCCTCTTGGGACCTGTTTACCCTCTGTGACCTGTGGGTTTGGACCAGAGGGACTCTGGGGTCATGTCTTGCTCTGAGAGTTGAAGTCCTGCCAGCTTTCCAGGCTGCCAACTCAGAGCCCTCACTCCGTCCTGCTACTCCCACCAGGCCTCTGGCCAGCCCCTTGGGCCCAGGCTTCTTGACCTCCATCTTTCTGCCCTGCATACAAGCTCTCCCAGCAGCCACAAGCTTGCCCGCCCTGGCTTCCTCTGCCGAGACATGGAGGAAGGCATTCTGGGCAAAAGGACCAAGGGGGCATGGACCCTTCTTGTACCAGCTGGCCACAGGCACAAGGGCTGCAGCTGCTTCTTCCAGGCAACTGGGACATGGAATTCAGTGGCCTCAGATCCTGGGACCCCTGGGCCGTGCCTGCCCTCCACTTTGAGTACCATGCTCCAACAGCTCCAGCTGCCCACAGGGATGTGCCTGCTCAGGAAACCTCTTGGCCACACGCTCCGGCTGCTGGCCCAAGGCCAGGAAAACAGTTCTGCAGCAGGGTTCAGCCTCAGGGGCCTAAGATGCTGGATGACATCAATAAAGGGACAGGAAGGGCCATGTTGCCACACGAGCAAGCTTGGGTGCTCCCAAGGTTCAAATACCTTTTATTAGACATGGCCAGGCAGAAAAGACCATGGGAGTTCCCAAGGGGCCCCAGCTTTCAAGAGCGATGGGAGGGACACTGGGTAAAACATTACAAGTGCAGTGGCGGAGTCTGGGGCTCAGGTTGGGTCTAGGGTGTCCTCAAACAGGCTGAGGAGGTTCCGAGGCTCAAAGGAGGGGAAGGAGCCTCGAGGAGGCTCTGAGTCGATGTCACTTAGGTCCAGGGCATCCCTGGGAGGAGGGGAGAGGAGTGACACTCAGGATCCGAAAGCCAGCCCTGCCCTGCCCACCCCAGCCCCTGGGCCTGCTTACCTGGGCGTGCACCTGCTCCTGGGGGTGGAGGCCCGGGCCAGGACAGCCTCAGGGGACAGTGAGGGCCTGCAGGAGGGCGGGTGAGACAAGCAAGGTGTTCAGGGGTGGGGAGTGCAGGACGAGACCAGCTTTGTCCCTAGGCAGGCTTTAGGCTCCCACCTGACCAACAGGCAGGGAGCCATGGTCAGATACAATAAAAGCTTGGTGCACTCTGAAAGCAGCACTTGGAGAGCCTTCAAAGACCTTCCATCTGGCTACATTCAAAGGCCCCTCTGTCCTTTTCAGAAGATACAGACTTGATGGAGGCGGATTGGAAGTAAACGTTTAGTAAATGTAAGCCTTTCTGGAACTTGTCTACTATAAAGTGCCCCCGAGGGATGAGGCGATGTTTTTATAAGGAAGGGCCTAATGGCAGAGTCCTCAAGAGCTGTCTGCCCTGAGCATGTGGTTTTCCTTTGCAGCAGTTTCCTAATTACAGCCTCTCAGTTGGCCAGCAGCCCCCAGGGACCAAGGACTTCCTCCCGGAGCAGGGCTCTCCAGACTCCAGAGGCTTTTTATTCCCAGAGAAGGGACAATTTCTTGTCCCTGGGCACTGGCAGTCTCCACTGGGGTCAGGGCTGTGCAGCTGGTCAATCCCTGGTGTGGTGGTGCCTTAAGTGTGAAGCCATGCCCTGAGCAGCCAGTACATACCAAGCTGCATTCAGTCTGGCCGGGCCGCACCCTACCAGCCTTGGTTCTCTTCCCCACGGTGTGATGGGGGCCAGGTTTGTGGGAATGGTCCCCATTTACCATGAATTTCCATGGAGACCCAGTGATGTCCCCCCAGCCCCCCATACCCTGCACTCGCACCCACCCTAGGCTGTCGTCGTCCCAGTTGCTGGAGAGGCTGCTGTCCAGGAGCAGGCTACAGGGTGGTGAGCCAGGTGGGGTGGCCGGTGGGCCTGGGGGCTGCAGCCAGCTAGTAGGGTGAGCCAGCCCATGCCAGAGCCAACACAGCAGGGCAAGCAGGGCCTGTGGGGAGAGGAGCTCAGAATGTGGGCAGGCCCCAGGGCTGGGGAGCTAGGCAGGCAGCCGCCACTATCAGGAGCTTACCTGCCACAGGGCCCATCCTCGGCTCAGGGCCTCCGCTGCCATATACCACAACGCACCCCAGGCCCTCGGCTGCCTCAACACAGGCAGTGCCAGCAGGGCCTCGGCCGTGGCCCGCAGCTTGGGGTCCGGCTCCAGCATCATGACAAGGACAGAACGCAGCTCGGAAGACAGACCTGCCCATGAAGAAAGGCCACATCAGGGGTCCCAGAATGGCAACTGCACCCTGAGCCCAGCAGTGTCTCCACGCCCAGCTGCTGTCTCCCCAGGAGCCCATGGCTATACCCCCTCCCACCCTCACCCACTCACCGGCAGTGAACTCGGGGGGCAGGTAGCCCTGGCGCAGCTGCTGCCAGCCCTCTCCACCGTGGGGCAGCTCCATGTTGCATGCTACTTCCAAGATGCTGAGGCCCAGACTGGCAGGGACAGGATGGGGACAGAAGAGGGCAGGGTTGGCCTTGGAACACAGACTCAGTCCCGGGCTGCCTCTTGGAGGTGGGTGGGAGAGGGCTGCTGTCTTCCTTGATCAGTGAGGGAGGAGCAGAAGCAGAGGGAAGGGAGGCCCCAGCAGGGCTGATTATGAACCCCGGGCAGGATGGGGACATCATGGAATATAGGCCCCGTTCCCAGGGAGCCCACGTGCCACAGTGGTAGGTCCTCCCAGTGCCCTGCTGGACAGGTGCCACGGTTACTGGTGACAGGTATTATTATCCTGATGATCAGGGCAGTGGTTACCAGTGTGGACCCTGGAACCCAGCACCTGGAGCCAGTTCCAGCTGTGCCACCTGCTAGCAATGGGCTCCAGCAAGGCCCTTAAACCTGGCTGTGAGTGAAGTGACAATTGTTTCTCCTATGGAGATGTGAGGAGGAGGCAAGTTACACAAAGGGGCTCTGGAGGGTTCGAGGCTCACAGGCAGCCTGACCAGACAGAGCCTTTCCACTGCAGCGCAGGGACGATGTCTCAGCCTCGTAGCTCTGAGGCTGGGTGTCCTGGGCTAGGATGGAGCTTCCATTCTGGGGAATAGAGCTTCTGTCCCAGGAAGGGCTTCCCACAGCCTGCCAAACACCTGGCATCCCCTGTCCTCACCTGAACACGTCCGCTGCTGTCCCATAGGAGCCCTGCAGCAGCTCGGGGGCCATGTAGCGGGGATCTCCCTCCTGAACCTCGCCAGCTCCTGCTGTACCCAGCTCCACCAGCAGTCCGAAGTCACCCAGCTTGCAGCGGCCCCGAGGCCCCAGGAAAATGTTAGCAGGCTTCACATCAAGGTGTACCAGGCCCTGGCCATGCAGGTGGGCCAGGGCAAGCAGCGTGTCCCGCAGGTAGCCCCAGACCTGGGCCTCAGGCAGGCTGGCACCCCAGGCCTCACAGTGCTGCTGCAGGCTGGGCCCACAGAGCTCCGTCTGCAGGTACAGGATGCCTCCCTCCTCCCAGGCCTGCTCCAGTCGCACGCAGCGCGGGTGCTGCCCCACCTTCTCGTGGCCGCCCACCTCGGCCAGCTTGCGGGCCCGGTCCTTGGGACCCCGGAATGGCGACATGGAACGCTTTACTGCATAGAGCTGGCCATCCTCCTTGGAGCGCACCTGGAAAGGAGGTGGTACCCACAGGCAGGGTGGGGGAGAGCCACAAGTGGCGCAACCATGTTGGGGGACAACCTGGCAGACTCCATTAAGGGCTCACACACAGGACAGTGGTGTAGCCAGCAAGTCTCAGACCCCTACCCAGGGCAACAGCAAAACTGGAAAAACCTCCGTCCCTGGGGTTGGGTCCGTGGAGACCCGGCGATAGAGGAGCCGGGCCGACCTGAGCCAACCCCAGGGGACCTCTTGGATGTGTTGCTCATGCAGCTGCAGAGCAACATGGGCAGCACAGGCTGTTGTATGAAAAGTGGGTTCCCCTGTGGGAAAGCTGACCTGGGGGCAATGTTGTTTGTACTTTTTAACAAAATTGTCTTCACACAGGACTCGTACGAGAGAAAACTACTCTTTAAAAAAATACATAAATGACTGGAAACTGTGTTTAAGAAAAACAAGGTGGCAGGCACACAGTAGCTCAGAGCCTGCCAGCCTGGGGAGGGCGGGGTATGGGCAGACTTGCCAAGGACCCTGCACAGCTGGTGCCAGGGCCAGAGGAGATGGCACAGGGGCTGCCAAAGGGTGTGCCAGACTCTGGACAAGGGGCCAGTGTGTACAGAGCAGCCCCTGGAGGGGCCTGCATTGCGGGTGATGGGAGTGGCCAAGTCAAATGTAGAGCCCGGGGCGGGGTGAGGGGAGGGAGGCTGTAGGGAACAGAAGGGGAACAGGCTGACCAGGACCCTGTCCCACCAGGGGAGTGGCAGGGACACAAAGGAGGTCCCCCAGATGGACCTGGAAGCCGCCCCCTCGCTCACCTTGAAGACCTCTCCGTAGGAGCCATGGCCCAGGCGGCTGAGCCTCTGGAAGTTCTGCTGGAAGAAGGACTCTGGCCGGCTTGGGTCATATCCAGGACTCTGCAGGGTCTCTGAGGCTTTGCCCCGGAATGACACCCGCCGGGGACGCAGCTGGTGCCAGCGTGGGGTCCGAGGAGGGAAGAGGCGGCTGATGGGGATGCTGCCCTTGGCAGGGGGCGGAGGTGGGAGGCTCCGGCTGAGCCCCCTGGGCCTCTTGAGGGAGAAGCCAGGTTCTGCGTGGCGGAAGTAAGCTGGGACTGGGACAGGAGTGCCACTCAGGGGCAGCGGGGTGCCCTCCGTGGGCACGGGCATGGCCAGCGCAGGAGGCCCTGGGGGCAGAGACAGAGGCTGAGGACAGGGCAGTGTGTCAACTCTGACACCACATGACCCTGTGGCCCCAAAGAGGCCACAGAAGAGAGCTACATCTACACCATCCCTCTATTCTGCTTTAAACAGCCATGGGAGCAACAAGCACCTACCAGGAAAAGGCAGAGGACAGATTCATACTCACCTGCCCACCAGGCTGTTATATTTTAGAGATGATAGAAACATAAGAAACCCATGGGGCCTGTGTTCTTGAGGGTCTTGCAGTCAGGTAGAGAGGTTAAGACCAAGATGGTTCTGGAGTCAGAGAGGCTCCACCTGCCCCCTGTCCTCATCACAGCCAGGTCGCTGACCCTGAACTACACAGCTTCTTCCGAGACCACAGGGGCCACTATCCCTTATCTCCAATTCCAAAGTAAAAAAAAACAAAATAGAATCCCTCAAGTTTCTTTCTTTTCATAGCTGTTGTGCCAAAACATATTTAGTGGTGTCCAGTTCCAGAATGGCAGTGGGCAAAGCCCGTGGACCGCCCCCCCTCAGTGAAACAGGCACAACTGGTGACAATTATTCAAACCCAGGCACTGAAAGCCTCTGGGCATGGTGCCCAGGGCACATAGCAAACAAAGGTTTACACCACAAAACCTGCCAAAGCTTCGGAATAACAGCAAGCCTGTTGGCAACTGAGCCATGACACTCCTGCTCTCCCACCCCCAGCACCCCACTCCCTTAGCCTAGCACTGGGGGTAGGTGTGGCCAACAAGGGCTCCCTCTCCCCCAGCTTCCAGTCAAGAGCCAAGAGAGCCAGGTTCTCAGCACTTCTCAACCCTCCTAACTCCACGTGGCAGAAGCTAAACTCCAGCTGAGTGTGACAGACAGGCCGGAGGCTCCCTTCTTCCACCTGCTCCCATGCAGTAGAGGCTGTACCTCAGGCCCAGCAGGCGGGGAACAAGGAGTCCCAGCTCATTTGTAGGAAGGAAGTTTCACACTGGAAAAGGGAAACAGCGAAGGCCAGAGGCTCTACCGGACCCAGCTACCTGCTCCTAAAGCAGCAGCAGCAGCACACAGGTGCACTATACTGCCCCCAGTTCTACAACATGACTCAGAGATTTAGCCTAGGGGTAGACACAGGTCATAAACAGAGCTCTCCCCACCCACCATCCCCCTGAAAATTGGCTTGATTTGAAACAGTGTTGGGGAGTTCAAGTTCTGTCAAAATCAGTGGAGGTTTTAGTCATGAGCCGTTAAGAGACTGGTACCTGCATTAGGGCAACCAACTAACCACAGGTCAGCGACACACCCAAGGCTGCACCCTCAGGAGACTGACATGAGAGGCTTCATGTGCTAGACTACTACAGAGAAGTGGGGAAAGAGGAAGAGCCTGCCTGCAGTCAGAGCAAACCTCAAACACTGACCTCAAAAGCTACTCCGTCAAAGGAGCTCAAAACTAATTGGATTTGGCCTGGCACAGTGGCTAATGCCTGCAACCCCATACTTTGGGAGGCTGAGGTGAGTGGATTACCTGAGGTCAGTAGTTCAAGACCAGCCTGGCCAACATGGTGAAATCCCATCTCTGCTAAAAATAAAAAAATAAGCTAGGCATGGTGGTGTGTGCCTATAATCCCAGCTACTCAGTAGGCTGAGGCAGCAGAATTGCTCTAACCTCGGAGGCAGAAGTTGCAGTGAGCGGAGATTGGGCCATTACACTCCAGCCTGGGCAACAGAGTGAGACTCTGTCTCAAAAGAAAAAAAAAAAAAAAAAAATTAATTGGATCAGCCTGTGGAACAATTTATGGCCCAAGGTACTGTTTGTTTTTGAGGCAAGGTCTCACTCTGTCTCCCAGGCTGGAGTGCATTGGTATGATCTCAGTTCACTGTAGCCTCTGCCTCCTGGGTTCAAGCAATTCTCTTTCCTCAGCCTCCCAAGTAGCTGGGACTACAAGCGTGTGCCAACACACCTGGCTAATTTTTATATTTTTAGTAGAGATGGGGTTTCACCATACTGGCGAGGCTCATGCCCCAACGTATTATAAAAAAACAATAGAACAATAAGCTGATCACTGGTGGAGCCTAATAGCTGGGTGTCATTGGGGGCAAAACTAGAGTGAGCCCTCCTAAAACCACACTTGCCCCAGGGTGGCTATGGACATGCCCAAGTTTGCACCCTCAGGGGAGTGACATGAGAGGCTTCATGTGCAGGGGAAACAGACTGCAATGCAGTAGTCCAGCCAGCCACCAACAAATAAACAGCAATCATAGGCCCTGGAGGAGGGTGGAGAACCAGCATGCAGTTAATACCAAAAATGTCCAGTTTTCACCAAAACTACAAGATACACAAAGACACAAGAAAGTATGACCCGTACACATGAAAAAACAAAACAGGCAACAGAAACTGCTCAAATGTCAGATTTTTTTCCTTGAGACAGGTTCATACTGTATCACTCAGACTGTAGTGAAGTGGCACGACAGCTCACTGCAACCTCCGCCTCCTAAGCTCAAGGGATCTTCCGACTTTTGCCTCCTGAGTAGCCGGGACTACAGGCTTGCACCATCATACCTAATATATAGAGACAGGGGTTCACCATGTTGCTCAGGCTGGTCTCAAACTCCTAGACTTGAGCCATCTGCCCACTTCAGCCTCCCAAAATGCCGGGATTATAGGTGTGAGCCACCACATCCAGCCTCCAAATGTCAGATTTAACAAAGACTCGAAAGCAGGCCGGGCTTGGTGGCTCACACTTGTAATCCCAGCACTTTGGGAGGCCAAGGCAGGTGGATCACAAGGTCATGAGTTTGAGACCAGCCTGGCCAACAGGGTGAAACCCTGTCTTTACTAAAAATACAAAAATCAGCCAGGCATGGTGGTGGGCGTCTGTAATCCCAGGTACTTGGCAGGCTGAGGCATGAGAATCACTTGAACCTGGGAGGTAGAAGTTGTAGTGAACCGAGACCGCTCCATTGCACTCCAGCCTGGACAACAGAGCAAGACTCTGTCTCAAAAAAAAAAAAAAATTTTGAGACCAGGATGGCCAACATGGTGAAACCCCATCTCTACTAAAAATACAAAACTTAGCCAGGTGTGGTGGTGCGCGCCTGTAATCCCAGCTACTCAGGAGGCTGAGGCAGGAGAATGGCTTGAACCTGGGAGGTAGAGGTTGCAGTGAGCCGAGATGGTGCCACTCCACTCCAGCCTGGGGGACAGAGCGAGATTTTGTCACAAAATAATAAATATATAATGAATAAGTAAAAATCTAAAAAAAAGCAGCCTCCAGGCCAGGTGTGGTGGCTCACGCCTGTAATCCAAGCACTCTGGAGGCCAAGGCGGGCGGATCACCTGAGGTCGGGAGTTCAAGACCAGCCTGACCAACACGGTGAAACCCCATCTTGAAAAAAAAAAAAAAAAAAAAAAAAAGAAAAGAAAGAAAAGAAAAAGAAAAAAAAAAAGCAGCCTCCAGTCCCTGAGGGAATGGAGTGGTGAGGGGAGGGAGGCTACCTGGGCCTGGCTGATAGGCTGCCCTCCATCTGTGGAGACTCTTCCTTTGACTCTAATTACCTCAGAGTCTCATACCAGGGTTTCTCAAAGTGAGGAGCCAGAGTGTTGGGATCTTCGAGGTCACAGGTCACAGGCACAGCCTTCAGGCCCAACCCTGGCACATTCGGGGACTTGAGCCTGTGCATCTTAACCCAATTCTCCCACGGGCCCTACAACTTACGTTCTAGCATGACTGGCCCGGCCCAAGAGCCTCAGTGGTGGGATGGGGGAGGTAGGAGCAGGGGCTCCCACGTGAATCCAGGGTGTCCCTGAGCTAAGGCCAGGCAGGGGTGACCTCCGCAGCTTCCAGGGACCTGGGTGATGGGACCTTCTCGCCTCACCCTCTCACTGGGCCCGACACATCTGCTGGCCACCTCTCCAATAGACTGTGAGTTCCTCCCAGGCAGGGCGGCAGCTGAGTTCACCTACGTGGGTGTAGGGAAACCCTGGCGAACAGAGCACGGAACGGGCTATCACTGGAAGCAGCTGTCACCAGGGAAGAGGGGCTGTCACAGGGGAAGGGGCTGTCATAGGGAAAGAGGGGCTGTCACAGGGGAAGAGGGGCTGTCATAGGCGAAGAGGGGCTGTCACAGTGGAAGGGTCTATCACAGGAAAAGGGGCTGTGGCAGGGGAAGAGGAGCTGTCCTAGGGGAAGAGGAGGTTTTACAGGGGAAGATGGGCTGTCCTAGGGGAAGAGGGGCTGTCACATGGGAAGAAGGGGTGTCACAGGGGAAGAGGGGGTGTCACAGGGGAAGAAGGGCTGTCCTAGGGGAAGAGGGGGTGTCACAGGGGAATAGGGGCTGTCACGGGAAGAGGGGCTGTCACAGGGGAAGAGGGGCTGTCACAGGGGAAGAGGGGGTGTCCTGGGGAAAGAGGGCCTGTTCTAGGGGAAGAGTGAGTGTCACAGGGGAAGAAGAGGTGTCACAGGGGAAGAGGAGCTGTCCTAGGAGAAGAAGGACTGTCCTAGGGGAAGAGGGGGTGTCACAGGGGACGAGGGGGTGTCTCAGAGGAAGATGGTGTATCCTAGGGGAAAGGGGGTGTCACAGGGGTAGAGGGGCTGTCACAGGGGAAGAGGGTCTGTCCTAGGGGAAGGGGGGTGTCACAGGGAAAGAAGGGGTGTCACAGGGGAAGAGGGGTTGTCCTAGAGGAAGTGGAGCTGTCACAGGGGAAGAGGGTCTGTCACAGGGGAAGAGCGTCTGTCCTAGGGGAAGACAGGTTGTCACAGTGGAAGAGGGGCTGTCCCAGGGGAAGAGGGGCTGTCCCAGGGGAAGAGGGGGTATCCCAGGGGAAGAGGGGCTGTCGCAGGGGAAGAGAGGGTGTCACAGGGAAGAGGGGCTGTCA